TGAGATAATTCAGTAAATCCATGCTTATAAGGGCTATCCACAGTTTGTACTGCCTACATTTTACACAGTCAAAAGCCTTTCTATAGTTCAATAAAGCAAAGATAGATTTTTTCCATTATCCACTGGAAGTTAGCAGTATGTTTTCAGGTTGCTCTGTGCCTTCTGAATCCAGTCTGAAGAGCTCCTGGCCCATGTATTGTTGACACCTGGATGCAACATCTGAAGTGTTATCTTATAAGAAATGAGATAAATAGGTTGTTTGGTAGTTGAAGTATTCTCTTCTGGTAACAGAACATATGTTTATTTTTTCTAGTGCCTTGATCTTGTCCTATACTTTTCATATCTATGTAGACTTTCATTCTATCATCTTGCAAGGTTTTAAAGATTTGCACTAATATTTCAGCAACTCTTGCAACTTTGTTAGGAGTATTTTCCAGGGCCCATTTAACTTATTTTCCCCAATGTGTGGGTATAATTTAATGGAGATCTTTTTGTACATTTGTATACATTTCTTCTTTATATTTTCTTTTTCTGACAGGTCTTTGCCCTATTTTGCATTAAAATTTCTCATGATTTCTGTAATTTTCTTAAATAAATTTCATGACCTTCCCTTTCTATCATTACCCTTGATTTCTCTGCACTCATTATTTAGATACAATTCCTTCTCTCTTCTTAATCTTATCTGGAACTCAGAATTTAATGGGGTACAGTTTTCTCTCCCCCTGTGGCCTCCCCCCCCCCTGCATTTTTCCAGCTATTTTCAAACTATCAGGAGCATTTTGTATTCTTTTCCTTGTTTTAATTTTGGATATCTTTTGTTGTCTTTAATAATGTCATAAATTTTAACCCAGAATTGTTCAGGCATTCTATTTATCCATTCTAATCCATTAAATCTATATGCTGTAGCATCACTGCATAATCCTATGATACATTACTGAAGTCATATCTTGTTGGTTTGATGATTTTATCTGTTTTCTTTAGTTTCACTGTAATTTTGCAAAAAGGAGCTCGTGATTTGAATTTCAATCAGCACTAATTTTTGGCTTTGCTGACAGAATAGAATGTCTCCATCTTTACTTGAAGAGTATACAGTCAATTTAATTTTGATGATTGTCCACGTAGCAATGTCTTTTAGATTGCTGAAATAAGGTATTTATTATAAACTTAGTATTTTCTTGTCTTTTCCATTATTCTGTATATAGAATCCATATTTCCCCATTATATCACATGCTACTTTATTTTCAGCTTTAACATTCCAGTCTCCTATAAAGGCAAAGCTTTCCCCTACTCAGTTGTGTCTGACTTTAGGAGGCAATGCTCATCTCTGTTTCTTAGCCGACAGAGCCAATGTGGTCCATGGTCATGTGGCCAGCATGACTGTATGCCAAAGGTGCACATAATAGTGTAACCTTCCCACTGAAGTGGTACCTGCTTGCATTTGCATCCTTTTGAACTGCTCCATGGGCAGGAGCTAGAACAAGTGACAGGAGCTCATCCCGTCACACAGAGCTTGGGTCTCAAACCCAGACTGTCAGCTTCCCTGCTGACAAGTTCAGCATCTTTAACCACTGAGCCATCACACCCGCTTCCAGTCTCCTATACTTATTTTGACATTGTTGAGGTATTGTATCAACAAGGGTTCAAAAGTCCTATAGAACTGCTGAAGTTCTGTTTCTTCTGTATCTCTGGTTGGAACTCAGACTTGCATCATTATACTATTCGTTAGCTTGCTTTTCACTCAAACAGAGATAATTCCATTGCATACTTTCTGAGTGGAGAAACTCATCTTCCAGTAACACGTCGACATTTTTGTAAATCTCTTTTTAGTTTTTTTGACAGTAGATTACTCATGCCTAAAAAGCATTCCAGAGCATTTCTCTCTCTCTTCTTTTAGGGAATAGAAATTTAAAGAAAGATATATTTATTTTATGTGAGCGTACATTTTTATGTTTCTTTTAGTCTTTTTAATCTTGTAAAGGATAATTGAGGAATACTCAGCATGTTCAATCAGATTTTCTTTTGAAAGTTATGGTTTTGCCAAGCATTGATGATGCAAGAACATGTCAAGTGTTGAGAAAGAAATTAAAATAACAGAGTTGGGAATGTTGCAGCTTGATCTTGTACAATACTTTTTCCCCCTGACAGCATGTAGTTTCTTTTCTAATTTTAAATAGGTCCTTGTACGTATGTATTCATGTCTTCTCCAGAACTCCAAACCTGAAAGCTTCAAAAATGTTAGTATCAAATGAGCATAGAATATGACCATGTATGCATGCCAGCTGTTGTTGAAATCTTTATATTTTGGAAGTGCATTGTGTGTTTTTTGCAGATTCTGAAAAGTTCTAAATTATCATAAAAAGCATACTATCCATACAGAACACGACCAGACATTTGTCTTCTGATTTATATCTGGCAAAATGCATATAAACAAATCCATGTTTGATTGAGATTTTTAGAATTGTAGTCCTTACTTTTCTGAAGGTAAAGTATTAGTTAGGTTATGCCATCTCCAAAACCAAACAGAAAGAGAGAGGAATTTTGACCCCAATCCCCAAACATATTTTAAAGAAAATAATGCAACGTGGATCATAAATTGCATTGGAAATATTTTTCTGGCTTTCAAACAAAGATTTTCATGTGCTAGCACAAGGAGTCTGCAGTTTAAAGAAAAATTATGTCTGCTAATATAAATTTCATATCTTTATCCACTTACCTGGAAGTAAGTCCCATTGAACTTAGTAGAACTTACTTCTGTGTGAACTAAAGAGGATACTACTAAACCACTTGCAATAGCATTGCAATGATTTTTCTCAAATATATACAATAACTTTAATATGTCTAGCTGCACATCGCATTATACTCATTCTATTTTCACTCAAATAATGATCATCCTTTGCATATTCTCATACGGGAGAAGTTAAATTCATAGAGAAAAAAACCCTCAGGTAATCTTTTCTTTATAGCAATGATAGTACTTAATATCGAATAGATCTCCTCTTTAGGATTATAAACAGGAACAGGTAAGTGTAATTTTTATCAGATCTTTCAAATTAAACAATTTCAATCTTGCGAGCTAGGATATGAAAAAAGAGCTATTTCTCAGTTTACATGCCATATTAGCTATGTTTGTAAGCAACAAGTTTATGAACAAGACAACATTCTTGGGAATGATTTATTAACTATCCTCAGAATAATTAGGAATCAGATACAGAAAGCTATTTTTGTGAAGCTGTGAAGAAAGTGACAAATGGCGACAATCTGGATTAACCTTGAGAACAGAGCTGACTACTTGACTAGATGACAACTACAAAAGAGGTTCCTGGGTTCTGAACAGTTATATTGCTGGTAAATCTTTTTCGAAAGGATGTTTAGTGTAATGAAACCAATGCTGGGTGTATGGAATGTTTTTTCTGAAAGAGAATAAAGAAACACACATATTCTATTAGTTAAGCTAAATATTTCCCTGTCAGGTGTGTCCGATTCTAGGGCACAGTGCTCATCTCTGTTTCTTGGCCAAGGGAACCAGGATTGTCCAAAGACATTTTCTGTGGCCATATGGCCAAAGAGACACAGAATCTTTCCACCGAAGTGATACCTATTTATCTACTTACATTTGCATGCTTTCGAACTGCTAGGTGGGCAGGAATGGGAGCTCATCTGTTGCACAGCACTCAGGTCTCGAACCTGGACTGTCAGATTTCAAGCTGACAATCTTTAACTGCTGAGCCATTGTGCCCTCTCATATCCTATTAAGAACCACCAATTCCCAATCATCAAGTTTGGAAAAAATCAATTTGTGAATTTATAGCCTTAGAAATAATGCCTGGAACTTCATGGGATTAAAATGACATGTCAAATAATCATTTAGAATACTGTAGTCTAATAGAGGAATACTTTGTGCAACAAGGCTGTTCAAGAGCTAAGTGTATAACTCTTATGGGAAATCATCCCTAGGTGCTGGGGAGATCTAGCATCTTGAGAATCTCCCAGGCTTTTATCTATTCATATGGAAAGTTCTCCTGGAAGATGATTGGATGAAGTTTTCCAACCAAGTAATGAGCTTGAGAACTTGGCAGCATTTATTGTGAAGAGGCAACAGGGCTTCAGCTCTTCTTTCCTCAACTAATGTAACAGAAATATTTACACCTATGGCACGTTACTGAGTCATTTGTTCCAACTACAGTATATTTTCTTTCTGAGCTCGCAACCCACAAAATTCACTGCCAGTCCCAGCACACCCAAATGCTACCATGTAGAGAAGGCCTGGTCTATGACTGATCACTGATCTTTGGAGTTTTCAGAGAGAGCTCTTTTGCAGCCTGTTCACTAGGATATAACATGTCACATGCTGTATCCTAATCAGTGGGCTTTGTACAAACCTTTTATAAGGATTTTTGGAATGGGATAGGGTTTCCTGCTTCAGCAAGGGATCGGACTAGAAGACCTTCAAGGTTCCTTCCAGCTTTCTTATTCTGTATAGGTTATGATAAATTTGGATAGAGAGCCAGTATGATGTAGTGGTTAAGGTACTGGCTAGGGTTGTAAGACCGAGACCTAGTCTTCCCTTAGGCATGGAAGCCAGCTGGGTGATTTGGTGCCAGTCACTCTTTCTTGTCTCCCAGGGTTAAGTCCTACAACCAGCAAGTGGAACAACAATCCCTTTGTTGCATTGTGCATTGATAGCTTTGCTGCATCAGCTAAGCAAGCACAATGTAAACAAAGCAGAGGCTGCAACTGAGCAGGACAAAATGCTAGGGGAGAAAAAGATTAAGGCTTGGTGTGCACTGTGGAATACAAGAATAATGAACATATTTCTGAAGATCAGGGCTCTCTATGTTTGGTCACATTTTGCCAATTTACGGCTGCTGTTTATTTTTTTCTGAATTCAAAAGAGGAGGTATTTTCAGATTAAGAGTACATTGTGAAAAATATGATTCTGCCTCAAGAATATCTGTAGCTGTTTATAAGGGGGCACGTGAAGTGTATTTTTGAGCAATTACCTGTGTGTGTAGGTTAATGGAGGACTGATTCGGGGAGTAAGGTCCCCCAAGGTCATTCCTGAGAAGGTTGTCGCTGTGCATCTTAGTTTTGAGGCAGGTGATGTAACGATTACAAAAGTCTTTGCACAATTCATTCACTTTCTCCAACTCCAAGAGATGAATTCGCAGGACCTGAATAGCTTTCACCATCTGCAGACAATTCAAAACAAGAGCAGGGTCACTTTAGTTATGGAAAACAACGAATGCATCAATGGAAGATAATGCTGTCAAACGATGGTAATCAGTTCTGCTAGGATCCTTGATTAATAATGTATAAATTCATCATTTAAAAAATGCATGCACTTTCTCATTTTCCCATTTTTATTTTATGTTTGAAAAGAAAAACATTTCTCTTATATTTCTGATCAAAAAAACCTCACAAGTATAGATGCATTCGTACACAGGCAAACACACACACACACACACACACACACACACACACACACACATCATGTTATCTAGTTAAACAATCAATATGTAAATCCCTTTATTTCATAATACCTAATGGGAAATTGAAGATATAACTTATAATACAGGTAGTCCTCAAGTTGTAATCACACTTGGGGCCAGGATCAGTGCAGTTGTTAAATTAGTAACATGGTTGTTCAGTGAATCTGGTTTCCCCATTGACTTTGCTTGTCAGAAGGTAGCCAAAGGGGATCACGTAACCCTAGGACATTGCAACCATCATAAATGTGAATCAGTTGTCAAGCATCCGAATATAAGTCATGTGACCATGGGAAACTGCAACAGTCATAAGTGTGAAAAATGATGATAACTCACTTTTTTCAGTACCGTTGCAACTTTGAACGATCACTAAACGAATGGTGTAAGTCGAGGATACTGTTCTATGTCTGCTAATGGGTGCTGCTGGTGCCACTAAGAGAGGCACAGTTCCCAAATATTCCCTTGGGAAAACTCACCTTTTCATTCTTGGAGCATTTTGGAATCCAGCCATGAGAATTCTTATGTAAGAGCATCCTTGATTATTCTCAGATGGCTTCTCTGCTTAACAAGCCCTGAGAATGAAAAATCTGCCTCATAAGCTCTCCCTTGGGAGAAGTCTCGGCCTTCATAAAATGTACCCCATAAATGTTAAAAAATTTACACATAAAACATGCCATGCATGGAAAGGAGGCTTTCCATTTTATAGCTCCAGCTCCAAATCCTGAATCAGGTATAAAATCTCAGCTATTCACCACAGAGTAGTAAATCAGCTTTTAAAAAATATTGTAACAAATGGTCTTTAAATTTCAAACCAGTTTTTTCAACTTGCTAATTTTAATGGTCCCTTTTACCAGCTATTAGTCACAGGCTTCTCAAGGGGTGGCCACTGTACTTATCAGCTTGGAGTTTGCTTTTGATTCCACTAAGAATCAAAGCGGCATGATTACTAAGGAAGGTGCTATCGAAGAGCAAAGTATATTGATTTTTGTTCTATGATAATGGAAGGAACAATTTGAAATAAACTTATCTAAGTTCACAGTTTCAAATCAATAGAGAAATGGAAATGTTATCATTTGACAATCACGTCTCTGTTTAGCAATGCAGCTTGTCAATAAGGATATATATCAACTTGTATTGAACTATGCCTCTTACTAAGCAAAACTGTGTTCAAAATGCACATTTTGTACTAAATCCTGGTGGAGCTGTGGTGATGCAGTGGTTAGAATGCAGTATTTCAGGATAACTCTGCCCACACCTTGGAGTTTGATCCTGATAGGACTTGAGGTTGACCCAGCCTTCTATCTTTCTGAGGTCGGTAAAATGAGGACAAAGATTATTGGAGGCAAGATGCAAATAATGCTTCAACCTTGTAACTCACCCAGAAAATGCTACGTGGCAGTGTATAAGTTGAAGTGAAATTGCTATAAAATATAAATTTATTCTCACAAAATTAAGTAGCCAAGAGAAATGAAAATGGATGGATTCCTCTATTCCAAAGTGAAATAACAGAAAAGTTTCCTGTGGCCGTGTGAAAGCTTTCCTAGCTGAATTACAAAAAAGAGAAAATTAGATAGTTGGAGAGAATACTTTTTAGATTATTCAGAACTAAAGCAAATTTCTGCAACTGCCCCATTTACTAAAGGATCCTTGTTACTTCACCATAAGCAAACCCGATCACCCACCTGCTCTCAGTCAGTAGGTCACACTCTGAATTTCCCTTCCTCCCACCCTCTCCCCCCCCCCCCCCCCCCCCCTCCCCCCCCCCCCCCCTCCCCCCCCCCTCCCCTCCTTCCTTCCTCCCTCCCTCCCTCTCTCCCTCCCTCCCTCCCTTCCTTCCTATGTGGGAAGCAGTGGGGGAAGTGAAGTGAACTCAGTGGAGTTGTCAGTGGGGAAAACTGGATTTGCTTAAAGCCCATATGTGATATTCTTCACAACTGCAGTGATTTGTTTAAAAACTCTGTCAAAAAAGGTCATAAAATCTAATATGACTCATTGAACAATTGCCTTGCTTAGCAAAGGAAATTCTGGTCCTAATTGTGGTTCATAAGTTGAGGACTTACAGGAAGAACTATTACCCCATTATCCAAATGCAATTACCGCCTGTCTTCAACAGGGGAAGCTGGAAATGAAGGAAGAAGATAAACCAGCCCTCCAGTAACATTGAATTCACTCAACAAATGTCTTCCTGAAAGTTAGCATTCAGGGGCAAGGAAAGTTGTGTGGGCAATCACACGTGGAAAGTTGTGTGGGCAATCATATCTGTGTGCGCGCATCTTTGTGGGTGCCCATGTATATATGTCTCTCTACCCCCCCTCTCTCGTATGTGTGAGGGTAACACACACACACACACACACACACACACACACACACACACAATAAATCTCTCAATTATCTCAGCTCATTTGCTTGGGGTCTCTCATTTTATGTCCCTGCTTCGCTGAGCCGTATATCTGTCCGGATAATGAGTTACAGTCCGATGGAATACGTGTGTGGGGTTGTAAAAAATACAGATGCTGAATTAATTGACTGTGTGGCACTCAGCAGCTGATTGAGTTGATAATGGCGAGATCTGACCTTTTTCTAATTTCTAATTATGTGCATCTCGCCTGTGAGGAATACATGATTCTTATTCTAATGATGGTTAATGTCCCTGGCCTTTTCCTCTCTTCTTTGCTGTCAGCAATGGTGGACAATTTACATAGGATTAGCAGCATTAAAACCATGTACATACGACAAATAAACTTTGGGAGATAAGGATCTTGCGGAGGGAAGATTCATTGGAAGCGTCATGGTTTGCAAGATTTCCGACAAGTACTTCCGCTAGTGAGCTTTAAAAAAATCCAGGAATAGGGGAGGTAACAATAACAGTAAATATACTAATATTAGTAGTAACAGAAGTTGAGTTTAGTAGTATTAAGTGAGCAGTCTTTATTGGACAGCAAATAATATTGGTCATAATAATGATGAGAACAACAATGCCAAGAGAAAGCATATAAGGAATATAAAAAAGTAAAACTCATTTGGATGAACAGAAAGTCTACAGCAACTTCTGAAATCAGATTCTCTTCATGAAAGATCAGATTCTTATCCCATGAAAGAGGACCCTAACAGGTTGTTTTCCACTGACGTATGGATCCATGAATGTAGCCATTGATCTATTTCTGATTCTATAATGTTTAATGTTAAATATAATGTTTAGATTGTATAACGTTTAGTCCTAGTGGACAATCACTTAAATATGAGCCAACTGTGAGCAACAGCAAGCAAACAAGCCAATGCGATCCTAGGCTGCATTAATAGAGGGATAGAATCAAGATCATACAAATTATAGTAAAGCTTTACAAACCCTTAGTAAGACCACACCTGGAATACTACATCCAATTCTGGTCGCCACTACTTAAAAAGTTGTTGAGACTCTGGAAAGAGTGCAGAGAAGAGCAACAAGAATGATTATGGGGCTGGGCTAAAACATATGAAGAACAGTTACAGGAATTGGGTAAGTCTAGTCTAATGAAGAGAAGGACTAGGGGAGACATGATAGAAGTGTTCCAATATTTGAGGGGCTGCCACAAAGAAGAGGAGGTCAAATTATTTCCCAAAGCACCAAAAGGCAAGACAAGAAACAATGGATATAAACTAACCAAGGAGAGAATGCAACCTAGAACTAAGGAGACATTTTCTAATGGTGACAGCAATCAATCAATGGAACAGCTTGCCTTCAGAAGTTATGGGTCCTCCATCACTGGAGGCTTTCAAAATGAGACACTTGTCTGAAATGGTATTGGACTAGAAGCTCTCCAAGATCCCTTCCAATTATTCTATGTGTATTGTTTACACTGACTGATTGTAGTTCTCTGGAAAATCTGGGGAATTTCCAAATTTTCCCATTCTCCTTGGTGGACAATGGGATGTTATTCATGGAAAATAAAGGCAGCAGCAAGGAACTCATGAATATTATTTGGTTGTTGGTCCAGATGGGACCATTTTTGGTTCAAGCAAACTGCCGTTTTGTCACTAAGGGCCACTTCTGCTAATGAAGTTGTATGCAAAATGCAACACATTGATGGCAATGACCATCAATTATTTACTGATGCAAAACCAGTGATGGTCAGTCTGGCATAAGGTTTATCCATATGCTGTTAAATTTTCTTACTATGGAATCTGTAGTTTCCTATAGTGGTCTTACCTATATGGTCTTACTTAGTACTAACTTAGAAATCTTGGTGCCATGACTGAAACTTCTCATCTGAAAGGAACTGGGGATTCTTAAGGGCTATGTTAGAAGGATATAATAAGTCTTCTGGTTATAGAAGTGTTTCAGCCACAAGTACAGCCTGGAACCAAGGACATCCTCATCTTTATTGCATTTAATTATGTTCCAGTAAAAGAAGTACATCAAGTGAGGTCAAGTGATGGAAAGAGAAGGACTCTGTCAGCCTTATAGGAGAACAGCAGCATCTTATAGTGCACTTGAATTCATTGGCAGAGCTTTAACTTTTGACACTGAATCCCTTGGATAAATGACACAGGATGCTAACATAAGAACAGTGAACTTTAATATAATCTGTACAAAAATAGCAGAAGGGAGTTGGAACAAATTGCAAAAAATCCTCTTGAAACCAAGGAAGAAATCGGGTATTTAACCCATCCTTCAAATCTTTTCCTGATAATGCCTCCAGAAGAAATGTTCATACTCATGTACCTAAAGTGAAAAAAATCCCCTCTCCGTGAAAACAAAGAAAGGAAAATTACAACTATTGCTGCTTTCAGGTTTTTAAAAATACATTAACTTGCCTTTGTCCATAACTCATTCATTCATTCTTGCAAGTTCAACGATCAAGAAAGATCAATATTTTTTCTGCTACACAGGTGCTTCAGGAATATAGTTTTCCAGGACAGGAATAGCTTTGTCATCAGGAGCTGAAGCAGCAACATGTTGATTTGAGCCAAATATTGAAAGAAGATGCCAAAGAGAGAGAGAGTGTGTTTGCACAGCCTAAGTGGATGTCAGTGACCAACCCAAAAAGATCAGTGTCAGCAATTGGCACCTTTAGGTAGCTGCCAAGGACTCAGTATTTAAGAATATGTATAATCAGCTGTCTTTTTAGTTAGTTTACTTTATTGTCCTTGCACCTCGTACAATGAAATTAAATACCATCTTCAGTGTACATTATGACTATGAAAATAAACACAAATACACATCCTTCACATTCTATACATTGAATTGAAAACCCCTGATATTGCATTAATATTGCACTATACAGTAGAATTCCATAGTGTTACTGTCCTTTTAAATTTGGGTGAAGTATCTGGCATAGAGTTGTTCCGGGATCACTGCACAAAACTGAAAAATTTTACTTCCATTGAATGATAGAATCATTAGATTCACATTTGGTGAACTGAAATTGTGCTCACAGGCCCCCATATTAATGCTGTCTTGACATTTTCTTCTATGTTTCATTGTTATTATAGGAGAAGCAGAAGCTGGGGGTGGAGTGAAAAAAGGGATCAGCCTAGAATCCTTATGTAGTCCCAAGTGAACTAAGTCCAACTCACTTTGAGTGCTGGTGACCCTTATCTAATGCTAACCAGGTGCTGGCCATTAGTTGAGAAGATTCCTGTGTACAGGCTCTTAGCAATAAATCAGCTTAATTGATCATTCAGTTGTGGACCCGATAGAAGGACCTGATTTTTTGTGCCTGACAATTATCATCAGTAATCCCCCCAGTCTATTTCATTTGTCCACACCCACCAGTTTGAAATGAGAGATAACATGTGGTCTTCTATCAATTAGCCTCTCCAATAGTAACAGCAGTCCTCCAATCTTGATGTCCACACATTTCTTGGTCAATGGCTACCAACCTATTTGAGTTGTTTGAATACAAACTCCTCAAGTGGATCATCCATGATCCTTACAATGGATCATCACCTATGTTATTTTTCATTAAGAGGCAGGGAATGTCATTATTAGAGGAAAACATGTGGGATTTCTAAGGTTCTGAACTGAGACTTCTGGTGAGCTAGACATCCCTGAAGGAGCAGGGAGATCATTGTGATCAGTGGCGAGAGGGCACAATTTGGTCAGCAAAACATGTGCTGTTAAATAGGGTTTGGCCTCATCCATTGAAGAAGCAGAACGTAGGTTTCCTTGCTGCTAGGTCAGAGGCTTTCAATATGAAGGACAATGTGTGATGAGGCAGGTGCAATGCAGGCATTAACTTTGGAGTTCAAGGAATATATAGTATATGTATGAGATAAAATGGTTGAAGCAGAAGAATTACCAAGTTGTCCAGCTCAGGATCATCACTGAAAAATGGTTTGTGCTCCTGTTCTTGCTGGTGTACGAAGTTCTCAATGTCAACATCAAAGCTGGCAGAGGTGATGCATTCTGAGCCCTGTGTTGCTTGCTCGCATTTCTCAAATAGCAGTGTCAGGAGGGGGAAAAGAGGATGCCTAAAGGGAAAAGGAAATGGAATGACATTTCAGAAACAAATGCACCAACAAGGCCATATCTATCTCTCAATGTATACACAGCTTCATAATGTTCTATATTCATGAATGCTGCTGCATTGGAATGCTCCCCTTCAATTCTTTTTCAAAGGACATAAAAAAAACCCTCATGTTCCTGAACTTGCTTCAGTTAGGAGGTGCCTGAGAGGTATGTTCAAGCATCTTTTCTTTCATCTCCAAATTTGTTGGGGGCTTTCCAGCTTCCTACGCTTCAGTTAAATCCTAAAGGAAAATATCAGGAGATAAATCTCCCCAAAGAGCTTTTTTTCAGATCAGGAAGCAAGAAAAGCAAGAGAGACTGCAGAATTAGAGATGTATAACTAAAAAAAAAATTCAAACCTTCCACCATCGCCCAATGAGATAACCGAGAAAGCACCATTGGAAGAAATTTAAAAGAAAGAAAGAAGAAAGAAAAGAAAAGAGGAAAAAGAAGGAAGGGAGGGAGGGAGAAGGAAGAAGTAGAGAGAAAGAGAGAAAGAAAAGAGAAAAAGAAGAAAGAAAAGAGAGAAAGAAGAAAGAAAGAAGGAAGGAAGGAAGGAAGGAAGGAAGGAAAGAAGGAAGGAAGGAAGGAGGAGAACAGGGAAGGGAAATTCAGAGTGTTACCTACTGACTGAGAGCAGGTGGGCAATTGGGTTTAGTTATAGTGAAGTTTAAGTAACAGAAAGAAAGAGAGAGAGAGAGGGAGGGAGGGAGGGAGGGAGGGAAGGGGCTGGGTTTGGGTGAGAAATTTCTTTCAGAGAGGGAAAAAAACCCCAGGAACATACAGCAGAAGGGTAAAGGGCAGTCTTGCATATCAAAGCTCTCAGTTTAAACCGAGCAAACTGGTGACAGTAAATTCCTTCATTGCTTGACAGCTTGGAGAACCAGCCAGGGTAGCCAAAACAAAGGACAAATAACCAACCTCATATAAGACAGCTTTCATTGTACCTTCACCAGTTTTTCAGCATTTCAACAGACAGCTAATAGCTATATAAGGTACACACCTGGTGATTATGTTTATACAACCTGTATTCTGCTCTTAGTTTTTCTTTTTTGTGGATTCTAAGCAAGTCAAACTCATCAACATGCAACAGTCTAGTCATCTTGCTTTGCAAATTGATTATCCACAATGTTAAGGTTGCCCAGCACAGGATTTCAGAAGAAGCAAATGAATGGGATTCAGCTAAGAATAGTAAACTTAATGTAGTTATTCATCTGGTAAGCCTCATTAGACCCATGGAAACTAAGTAGGAGGGAAGGAAAAAAAAAAAAAAGGAGAGGTGTGTGAAGCATTTTCTACCCAATAATTTGCCAGCAAGGCTGCTCAGATAGGGAACATGGGCCAGACATAACAGTGAGGTCCATTTTTCTTTTGATAAATTATATATCCTACTAAAAATCTTGTTATCATGACCTTTAACTGGGTGAAACAGCACATCATAGAGAGACAATGTTTGAAACAAGGTAGCTTAAATGGGCTAATTTACAGAACGTGTCCAAAATCTGGGACCCAGGCCTCCCGAGGCAGTGACATTTGGGAAAGCTGTACCTGTTTCTGGGCTATATAGACTGCTGCTTTTCTGCTATGCTGCTGCTGCATCACATGATCTTCATTTTATTTATTAAATTTATACGCCACCCATCTCATGATCCAAAAAGACTCTGGATGGACAGTTTCCCAGCCACACTCACAATCCTTCATTCCTTCCCGCACCCGGCAACAGCCGTTTATCAGGAAAGGAGACAGGGAGATTTATAATGCTTCCTGACATATTCCAAGAAGAATACTCAATAAGCAAACCAGCAGGAAATCGGAAATAATTCCTGCATTCACTGCATTCTTGACTGCCCTTGGTCATTCTGTTTCTCCATTTAGATAAGGAAATATCTCTGAAAAGATGGTTCAATAGGGCATGGATTGTCTAGTTTGTGGTGTGTGTTTGTGTGAGAGAGAGGGGGGGGGCGGAATATGATGACATTTTTCTCCTTGCCTTTGCATATGTGGGGAATAGAAAAGAACTTATGTTCATTTTGCTAAGGGCTGAAAGTCTCACTCTGCTTAGTTAAAGTACGTTTTCTTTTCTTTCAAACCTGTTGTCCTGAATGCTTAGTCTTGAAGCTATCCTGAGAGTCTGGCGAGTTGAAAATGCTATCATACATAGCCATAAATCAGAGGTACCAATCGACTAGTTGAGTTTTTCGGGATCAAAACAAAGAGAAGAACAGGTGAAAGGGTTAAACTCTGATATAAGTCTTCATTTGCAGCTACTAATACTGCACCATATTACAGTCTAATCTAGACTGATCCCAGTTTAATGCAAGATTCTTCTAGCCATGAGCAGAATATGGAGGTGGGGGCAGGTGGAGGGAAGTTTCCCTGGTCGTAATTTAGGCAGCCCTGCCGAGGCTTAGCTGAGGGATATGAAAGGCAAATTCCAGACGGTGTTATGAATTATTTCGCCTTATGAACCTTCCCACTCTCAACAGATGCCTGCTGCCATTTAAACAGCCACTAGATCAATTAGAAATGAAAGGCACAAATCGACCCTGCGCAAGGGCACTAAATTACTAGGAACTAATAATCCGAGCAGTAATGCCAGGTGGTTGGAGTTCAGCGACGTGCAGGCCCTCCCTCTTTCCGCAAACCTTTGCACACAGCACCAATTCCTTTTCAATGTTATGAAGGAAATAAGAAACACAAAGTGATGGGAGGACAGAGTGAATCGCAGCTCTGAACTCACCACACCTAGCCTGGTGAAAGCTCTGAGGAGCGAAGTTACACATGGATGGCCCAAGATTTTGGCAAAACAACAAAATCTGCTAGATTGCTTCTTTAGACCAGCCCCATCCTAGATAAATTGCCTAGAGCCACATAGTTGATATGATTAGGGCAGAAATCTATTTATCGTCCATCCCTATCCCTATCCCTATCATCTCTATCTCTATCTCAATCTATCTATCTGGATGGATGATGGATGGATGGATGGATGATAAATGATAGATAGATAGAAAGATAGGATAGACAGAGAGGCAGACAGAAAGAAAGACAGACAGACAGGATTCTAAGGAAGAAAATCCTTTGGAGACTTTTCTTCTATGCAACAAACTTTCTCAGCCTGGAGAAAGGTAGCCCCTAACCCTTACAGCAGCTCCCCCCAACCTTTTGGGCACCAGGGACCAGTTCTGCACAGAGAGGTTTTTCCACGGACCACAGTGGGGGGGGTGTCATGTGCTGCCTGCACCCCCTGGGTAGGACTTTGTTTGTTTGTGTGGCCTAGTTTCTGGGATGTTGCAGCCTGGTGCCAGTCCAAGAAGGGTTGAGACCACTGCCTTACAGGGTATTGAACGAAAACCATCAGATTCCAAACACTGCAGGCAGATGTGGAAGAAATGTGTTATATTGACTCTGAATTTGGGAGTACCACCAATTCCCCCCCCCCCAAGAATTAATGCCATTGGTGGCTATAAAAGAGACAAGGACAATGTTTCAGTTTGGCATATTTGTTTAGCCAATATGAATGGAAGCATCTATTCATCTTGGTAAAAAGACAATCCTGAAGAGAATGAAGAAAATAATATCATACAGGAATGCTTTTATTGATTTCCTCTGCCTATGAGCTTATTTCATTCACTGAGACAACCTGAAATAGTTTAAGTGATTTGCCACTGAGAGGAAAAAAATGTAGGGCAAAATATTGTAATAAGGGGAGTTGTGGCAGTATAACTAGATTCACACATTATTACAGTAAGCTATAACGTGGCTTAGCAGAGTAGGCATCCCAGGCACTGCACCTTGCAAATCCCAATTTATAGCTTAATATATGTGATTAATTGTGAATAACAAGGTTGAGCAAATTAGGGTGTTTTTTTTAGTTTCATTAAGAGTTAAAAAACATACGAAAAAAAGAAAAGAATTGAAGTGACAAATGCTGAAGGAAAACCAGTCTGGACCCACGCTTTTTATTTTACAATATTTGTTTAATTTCACATATATTGAGACATGTCAGATTTAGTTGGTCTGGGTCTGATCTGGGACTGAAGACATCCCGATAATCTTGTTCCATAATTGTCTTGTTCCATGTTGAAGGAAAGTAAGATATGAATTTAGAATCAACCTGGTTTGTCCCTTGATTCTATCAAAAAAATTCTGCACAACACATTTTCTGTCAAAGTTAAGATGGGATATTGAACATTGCTGTTATGCCCCCATCGGGGCCTGAATATGCAGGGGAAGACAAGCTGGAACTGGACCTGACAAGAGATTGAGGGGCAGCTTCGTTGGCTTTGGAGGAGAATGGGGAGGGGCAGGCCCAGTCAGGCCAGGGCCTTTCAGGATTAGGACGGCTTGTAGGCAGGGAGGAACGGGGGCAGGATGACCAAGAGAGGCTAAGCAGTGAACATGAGAGACAGAGCTCAGGCAATAAGCAGGGACTGCCTCCTCCTGATCCTCGAGCACGGAGAGTGAAGAGAAGGCGAGAACAGCGCAGAGGAGAGCATCCCACCCCTCTTCACAAGGCACAGCTGGGGACTGAGACTTAAGGAGATGCTGTGGGGAGGGGCATTTGTCAGGAACAAATGCTGAATTTGTAGAGTTTGTTGTACCAGTACAGACATTTGGAGTTTGCAGGACTGCTTGCTTCTTCCTTGCTTTGTGGACTCAGTACCTTGTTCCTGACTTCGTGGACTCATTGTTTGTTTCTTGCTTCATAGATTCATTTCCCTGTTCCTTTGCTTTGCTGGACAGTGCACAGCCAGAGGTTGCTGTGCATGTGTGTGTCATCACTTTGTTCTGGGACTTGTCAGAAACGTGGGAGTGTTTGGGGAACTTTGGAGCAATAAAGGGGCGGTTTGAACTGCCAGCTGCCTGTGTTACCTCCGTGCCATGTTCCAGGACATCACAACTGCCTTCTATCATCCACACTCAGAGGCAATAAGTTTCTCAAGCCCTATCAGAAGAGGCTAAA